CCTCGTTTTGTACCACACAGTGCATCGAATACAATATTAATTTTGCGCTATCGCTAGCGAACTAGGCTGCGAACACTCGCAACCGCCCACCTAACTCTGTATGATTTGAACAGGCGGCGTATGTTTCGCTTCCTACACTATCTACGCCTGTCGCAGCTCACCATCTGAGGCGTTTGTTCAGGAGAGCGACCGCTCGATCTTCAGCGAACGCAGCCGATTATGAAGAACTCAGCGACTTCCTGAACGATACTCGAGCGCTCGTGTGTTGCTCGCTGTCGCTCGCCTTGATCAAAGATGGCCGGCCCCATGGAGGGTTACTCATGCAGATTTTAATCGCGAGATAATAAGTACTATGTTAAACGAATTAGCAGACGATGATACAAATTGAATTAGAATGTAAAATGCAATGAGATGAAAGTGAAATAAGTTGAATAGATTTGCAAATTGACGTCAGAATGTTAGATTCGCATTGCCAGCATTTTTCGTCGCCATCTTGAAAACAACCCGCACTCGTGAGCGACGGCTTTTGAACTTGCGCCGCAAACTGCATCGCCTCTTGCGTTCGCTCGCGGCAGTGTCGTTCAGAAGTAGCGGACGTAGCGGCGCTAGCCGAGCAAGTTCGCTCTCCTGAACACGGCCTTCTGGCAGTTTCGCCAAGCCTCCGTTATCGATACAGGCAACTTGAATAACATGGAGACGATGACGTCAGGCACAAGCCTGCTCGCTATTGGCTGTTGGCCAGTTACGCTCTCTGATTGGGCCGACACGATTTCGTGCTTTCGCGTATGCGATGCTGAAGAGAAGCAAGTGGTACAGGCGGTGAAGTGTAGTGAGCGGAACGGACCCGCCTGTAATCAATACAGGTTAGCGCCCACCCCTCACTGCGAAAATACATTAGTTCCCGCTGACTGGCGCTGCTGCTGCGCCACCGACAAATGGCGCGTTTGTTATTCGAAAAATAATGTGTTCGTTGACAGAAATATCGCAAGTATCACCATATGCAACGATAGTTAGAGGTTTTAAAAACTTTAGTAGCGGCTATAACTTAAGGACATATTCACTTCGGATAACAGCATTTAATTGCCTTTACACAGAGTTTTATTTAGCGGATACTTGCGGATAAGGTTGGTCCATTTGCTAGATACATTGAATAATTGTAACCAAACCCAAGAGCATAGGGGTTCACAAGCGGCTATACCTTTCTTGCGGAGGACATGCACGCAGTGATCACTTCGGGCAGCGTTGCGGTGTATTTCAGAGACTAGACACTTCCAAACTGGTGGTTTATTTCTAAACACGAACCTTTCCTTCCGATATTCCGGAACTTACTACTGTATCGCAATCTCTGTATTAAACTAATTTATAACCTGTTACAAAAATTTCGAAGTGACGAGCGGCGATATCCTGAGCGCATTTCTGATTGTTACCTGGACGTATGCATTTCCCAATGCGCTAGCGATTGGGCAAACGCAGCGCCCTCCGATTTGCGTCGGGTCTGAATCCGCTTCTTCACGAAGTACGTCACAGGTCAACATGAAATTGTGCTGCTCAGGATATTCGCCGCTCGTCACTTCGAACTTGTTGTTAACAGGTTATATTTAGTTTAATACAGCAGTATTCCCGATACATAGTAGTTCCCGAATAGCTGGAGAAAGGTTGTGGTTAGAATACAACAGTTGGAAGCTTCTAGTCATCTGAAATACACAGCGCAAAATCCTGCTGCAGTTGATTTCACTCGTGCATTCTCTCCTGCAAAAAGGTATAGGCTCGCGTTTGTAACCTATTCCTCTTGGGTTTGGTTAATTATTGTATCCTAGTCCATTGCTAGCTCTAAGTACTATTAGGCCGCCAGGATCGCTGCCCGCAGGCGGCTGCCGGCAGCGATCTGCGGGCCTATGTACTAGAGTAGTCCATTGCATTGCCCAAGTGGTGTCGCATCTATAGCCTAGCTCAGTCAATGTAAGCGGGGCTATTAGTACTGATCTAAGTTTGACTCTGACTCTGGTAGAAGTTTAGAGCTGGTAGCTTAGAGAAGATGGCGGTCGTTTATTGTTATCAGCGTACTACAGTAATGTACCCGAGGTAGTTTTAGGTTGTTTAGTATATGTTCTATAATTTTTATATGAGATATGTTTCAGACGGCAGTGCGTGTACGAGGGGGGTGTTTGGGTGATTAAACACCCCTTGCCTCTGTCCCAAACAATCATTAAAAAAAAGAAAAAAGAGGCTGCAGGAGTAAAGGGAGAGAGAGAAGAGAGAGAGAGGATCGAGGAGAGAAAGAGGAAAAGGAGAGAGGAGAGCGAAAACAGAAGGGCCCTATTATCCTGTATATATCCTGCATTTATTCGTAATTTTATTATCATTTGATTCACTAACAAACACACACAGCACAACACGCACACTCTCTTCTTCTCTCTCTCACGCACGCAACGCCACGCCGCACACACCACGCACAGCAGCAATCCCACAGCTCTTCTCTCTTCTCTACACCAATGGCCGCGCCGCACACACCTCTCTCTTCTGCTCCGCACGCTCTCTCTTCTCTCTCTCTCTCATCTCTTCGCTCGCGCAGCTTTCTCTCAATTTCTCTCTCTCTCTCTCGCTCTCTCTCTCTCTTTCTCTCTCTTCTCTCTCTCTCTCTCTCTCTCTCTTCTCTCTTCTCTTGCTCGCTCCCTCTTCTCTCTTCTCTCTTCTTTTTTTCTCTTCTCTTTCTCTTCTCCCTCCATCCTCATTCCTCTCCTCTCTCTCTCTCTTTTTTCTCTTCTCTTACTCTTCTCCTCATTCCCCCTTCCTCCCTCCTCTCTCTCTCTCTCTCTCTGTCACTAACCACAACACAAACACGCCAGCACCACCTCTCTCTCTCTCACCACACAACACAGCACAACAACGCTGTGCGCGGCACACTCTCTCTCTCTCTCTCTGAGACACATTACACATCCCTCGGGCGCAAGTTTACGTAAATTTTAGACTTTGCATGAAATTCGCCCACCTAAACGGCCTCGCTTGCATACGCAAATCGTTACGCAAATTTACTAAATAACTGCGATTTTGATCAAATCGCAACTAAGCAACGTCGATTGCGTATGCACACAAAATTTACGCAAAATATTTTGCGTACGCAGCTTGATGAATCATGAATCTACCCCCGGGAACCCACCCGTCATTGCAAGCGCACACGGTATCATAGTCTACAGTTTCCAGAGGCGTGTACAGGGTGGGTGGGGGTATTCCAGGGGGTCCGGACCCCCCATGCTCGCGCAGAAAACGCATCTGAGGGGTGCTAATTTCAAAAAATTCCCCCCCTTTGCGTGCTCACCACCCTTTCGAAAATCCTGCGTACGCCACTGGTTTAGGGTTAGTGTTAGGGTTAGGGTACACTTCTGTAGTACAAGTAAGTCTTGTACACTTTGTGTATACATCGGGTACATATCTGTAGTACCTGATACGACAACGACCCCTTGAGCGGCAGTAGACTGTAGAGAGGTGAGCCTGGTTGAAGTCCCTAACCGGCTAATGGGGTCTAGAGGCAGGTGAAGGTGACGTCCGCCCTACCCATCTGGTGACTCGCAGCTAGGGCCTGCATACCTCCCAACTCCCATTGGTTGATACAAATGTAGTTAATTGTTGTAATTAAATTTTAAGTAGTGTTAGGATTAGGGTTAGGGTCACAATGCACCATAAAAGTTTTATTAAAACAGGAGTTTCAGGCACTTGATTTGTATCAACAAATGGGATTTGGGAGGTATGCAGGCCCTAGCTGCCAGTCATCTGGTGGCATAATTACAAGTACGTGATGCATTAATGAATGGCTTCTAAAGTTTTTTATTTAATTTGTTAAATTTGTTATCAGTAGACGTTAGATGAGCGCTGTCGCTCCGCGGCACTTGTTTATTTTTACTTGATTACTTTATTACTTTATTAAAAATGTCTTCATACACCTCTTTTCCCATACCCATCCCCTCCCTGTGCATGCCTTGCTTAGCACATATATGGTAAAGTGAACAGTGGTTATAGTTTTTCATTGAGGCTTAAAAATAACTTTGGTGGCCCAAGTCTTGGCCCAGACCTTTGAACATCCAGAGGGAGCCCTGATTGCTCTCCATTGATTCCATCTAAAATTGATTACTCTCCATGCATTACTAATTTTGGCTCATTTAATTATCTTTATTATAGGTACAGATGGCTCCAAAAAGCAAGTCAAAGTTACCAGAATGGAACCTCTGTCTATTTTGTAACCGTACCATTTCAAAGCGAGATATCTCCAAACACACTGAAGTTTGCAATGACCGTGCTAGAGTAGACAGTAACAATATCGGCCATGGATTCATCAAGGATAGTGTGCTGCATGCAATAGTCGGTAAATCAGACTCTAAAGGAATTCCTCAATTTTCACCAAAGGGTGTTATATACTTAAATCCTGGAGCAATGCAGCTTACGGGCATGTGTATCGGGAGACCGATTTTGTGCACATATGACAACCACAAGGAAGTAATTACGGCATGGCCCAATTCAGCTGTGCTACCAGGGTATGCATCCTTCACGAATTTGAGCCGTGACTTTCCTGGAGTAAGGTTAAAGCCAGGTGACATGCTGATGGCAGAGTATTTCCTTCCAAATCCAATCGGTATATCTGAACTGAGCCTGACACCACTCAACCCTCAGAGCTTCATGACAACTGCAGAATTTAGGAAGTACTTTGCCACTGTGAAGAATCAATGCTATGTTAGTGCAGGAAGTAACATATCTATGAGTTATCTTGGCCAGCCATGTGATTTCATTGTGACTAAAATTGTGACGCTTGATGGTAAGACTTTTGATTCAGGATTGGCCATCAAGTTTGTAACAGACAATCATTTTAGCGATTCAGTCAGTGGGTTGTCAGAAAACCTGTCGAGAATGAATGTTGCTGACATGCCCAGCAGTAGCTCAATAGACTTCGATGTAAGTTGCACAGCTGATTCCTCCAACGAGATGGCAACCTCTACACCAATTAAGAATGAAAGCATGGCAGGGGCAACCCAGTTTTGCACTCCAGTTAAGTTTGAGGGGCTGGACGAAAAGTCACAGGACACCACATTTTTTTATATAGATATAGACACCAGACTTGATATATTTTGTGATACTGCCAAAGGAAGCGAAAATATTAAAAAAAGGGAAAGTAAAACAACTTTTACTTCTATTGGAGGTCTTTCTAAGCAGATAGAAACCCTTAAGGATATGGTAATGCTTCCACTGAAGGAAGTCGCAAGATATAAAGCTCTTGGTGTCCCACATGTGAGGGGTATACTTCTTTTTGGACCGTCTGGTTGTGGAAAAACAATGGTGGCCAGAGCATTGCTGGCTGAACTTGGACTGTATTACAAGACAGTCAATGCACCAGATGTGTATAGCAAGTTCCAAGGGGAGACTGAGGCAAATCTAAGAGAAATTTTTGCAGAGGCGGAAGCTAACACGCCATCTGTAATCTTTGTGGATGACATCGAAGCGCTCTGTCCCAGAAGAGATGGCCGTGGCACGCAAAGTCAACAGGAGACGAGAGTAGTTTCCACCTTGTTGTCGTTGATGGACAATCTTGGCTCGCTCGAGAACCCTGTTGTAGTGCTAGCGGCAACTAACAAACCTGAGTTGTTGGATCCTGCTCTTCGGCGACCTGGCAGGCTCGATAGAGAGATGGAGATTCCCGTTCCAACTGCGACAGATAGGGCTGACATTTTGTGTAAGCTGCTGTACAACATGCGCACTGATCTAAGCACAGCCGACGTGGCGAGCATCGCGGACGTCGCTCACGGCTACGTGGGAGCGGACCTCGCCGCCGTCTGCAGGGAAGCTGGGATGCATGCGCTGCGCAGATGCAGGCGAATTCCTGTCGATGCAGTCGACAGTGATGGGCACGTCGCGGAGGCCTCGCTGCTGCTGGCGGACATGTTGTACGGAATAAAGGCCGTGAAACCGTCCGCGATGCGGGAGGTCATGCTCGAAGTTCCGAAAGTTCTGTGGACGGACATTGGGGGGCAGCACGAGCTGAAGCACAAGCTGAAGCAGGCGATCGAGTGGCCGCTGAAACATCCGGCGGCGTTCCAGCGCATGGGGATCAACCCTCCGCGTGGCGTGCTCATGTACGGCCCACCCGGATGCTCGAAGACCATGACCGCCAAGGCTCTCGCCACTGAGAGTGGACTGAACTTCATCGCAGTGAAAGGTCCGGAACTGTTCAGTAAATGGGTGGGGGAGTCCGAGCAGGCCGTACGCGAAGTTTTTCGCAAGGCTCGTGCCGCGGCGCCCTCTATAGTGTTCTTTGATGAGATTGACGCGCTAGCTGTTGCGCGTGGCGGGTCCGGGGGCGGCCATAACGTTGGTGAGCGTGTTCTCGCTCAACTGCTTACGGAAATGGATGGAGTGGAGGCTCTGCAGAATGTCATCGTTGTCGCGGCAACGAACAGGCCGGATATGATTGACAAGGCTTTACTCCGCCCCGGCCGTCTGGACCGAGTTGTGTACGTTTCCTTGCCAGACGTGGAAGCTCGCGAGGAAATATTCAGGATACAGTTCCGCAGGATGCCTATAGCAGAAGACGTGAGGGTTGAAGAGCTGGCAAAGAACACACACGGTTATTCTGGTGCAGAAATTGTGTCTGTCTGCCAAGAGGCAGCATTGGCATCACTCGAGGAAAGTCTAACTGCAGAAACAATAACATGGAAGCACTTTGAAAAGGCTACACTTGCTGTTAAACCAAGGACTGACTCTACACTTATTGAGTTCTACGACAAATATATGTCAGCTGTTGAAAGCAAATTTAAAACATAGTGGATGTTTCTACTGGTGGTTCTAATGTGGAATAAAATACCTCCAAGCCAGATTTCAGTTATCAAATAAATAGTTTTTAGTGTTTATTTATTTCATAGTCAATCATGAAACATGGTTTCGTGTAACGTCTTGCAGTTTTTAAGGTAAATAGCCAATAATATGTTAGCAGAAATATCAATGACTATAAAACACATCAGCACAGATATACGCAGCATCTCCTTGCACGCGGTAACGACTACCCTTGCACTTGATCATCTTAATAGGAATGTGCGCTGTACAGTAAGTTAGCATGAAAATAATATGATGGTGGTAATATTTTTAATTCCAATATGTCTTACTTCAGCCGTGCAGGAAGAACCAGCAAGCGCGTATCTATGCCGTCATGCACGACGCATATGAGGTGCTTACGTGCGCGCGTGCGTGCCTGCTTACGTGCTCGCGCGCGTGCCTGCTTACGTGCTCGCGCGCGTGCCTGCTTACGTGCTCGCGCGCGTGCCTGCTTACGTGCTCGCGCGCGTGCTTACGTGCTCGCGTGCGTGCTTACATGCGTGCGCGCGTGCGTGCTCGCGTGCGTGCTTGCATGCGTGCTTACGTGCGTGCTTACGTGCGCGCGTGCGTGCTTACGTGCTCGGGTGCTTACATGCTCGCGTGCGTGCTGGTGCTTACATGCTCGCGTGCGTGCTTGCATGCGTGCTTACGTGCGCGCGCGCGTGCTTACGTGCTCGGGTGCTTACATGCTCGCGTGCGTGCTTACGTGCGCGCGCGCGTGCTTACGTGCGCGCGTGCGTGCTTACGTGCTCGCGTGCGTGCGCGCGTGCTTACGTGCGTGCATGCGTGCTTACGTGCGTGCGCGCGTGCGTGCTTGCGTGCGTGCTTACGTGCGCGCGCGTGTGTGCGCGTGTGTGCGCATGCCTACGATGTGGGCACATGCGTGGAAACTTTTTTATAACAAACAAGTTCGCATGCACACGAACGCGTGTGGCATATGTTAAAATTTCGTTCGAAATGTGTTCTATTATCATGAACGAAAACAATCTTTTTCTATCCTTCCAGCAGCCAGGAAGCACTATCTGTATACAATCAAGAGCGTATAAAGAAGGAGAGCGTACAACGGTGAAATGCTCAAACCATGTTGCAGTATTAGTCGAATTAAGAAACGTTGTATTATTGATCAGCTGTCCTACCTTGCTAATATAAAAAAAAACACTTGCCCCTACGATGCTCCTACGCTGAGATAATGAGCGGTGAAAATCTGGTATTTTCGCCGAAAACCGACTCGAGATCACTGTTTACTGCGACCCTCTCTCGCTTTGTGGCCAGTGTGTTGCTTCCGGTCGCCGCTGTGTAGCGCCATGGTAGCGCTGACTCACTGGTTTACTATACATCCAGCGTGAGGGGGGCACAGGTGGGGGGGGGGGTCATTACTATGGCAATCAATAACAGACGTCATTCATTCCATTTGTCAATCATTGACGGAAACATGCGAGGTTTCCCGAAGTTATCTCAAAGCGAGAGACAGTCGCAGTAAACAGTGTGATCTCGAGTCGGTTTTCGGCGAAAATACCAGATTTTCACCGCTCATTATCTCAGCGTAGGGACATGCGGTTTGTTTTATATTAACAAGGTAGGACAGCTGATCAATAATACTGCAAAGAATCGTCAAAATAAAACGGGGAAAGTTTATTAATTCGACTAATACTGCAACATGGTTTCAACATTTCACCGTTGTACGCTCTCCTTCTTTATACGCTCTTGATATAATATACTGATTGTGTACTGGCTGGTATACGCAGCGGGGACCTTACATGCAAGGTCTTCCTCCTATTTCTTAAATGATGTCTACTGATGGAATGTTATCATATAAATCTATGCTAGGATAACTCCTCTTCAATTTAAATGCATAATCTTTGCAAAATACGATTGCTCTCGGGAGATATTGCGCCTGCGCGCGCACCGTGTTAGGCTTGCAGTTTTGCCTAAGGAGGGCGCTCTCCTAATTATAAACACAGGTCTACTGGTAAAGGTTTATTAGGGAAATCTATGCTAAGATACCCCCTAACCATTGTAAATGCATATTCACCACAAAATATAACTCCTCTGATGAGATATTGCGCATGCGCTAACACACTAAGGTAGCCAGATTGTGTACTGGCTGGTATTCGCAGCGGGTACCTTACATGCAAGGTCTTCCTCCTATTTATTAAATGATGTCTACTGATGGAATATATATCATATAAATCTATGCTAGGATCACTCCTCTTCACTTTAAATGCATAATCTTTGCAAAATACGATTGCTCTCGGGAGATATTGCGTATGCGCGCGCACCGTGTTAGGCGTGCAGTTTTGCCTAAGGAGAACTTTATAATATAGCTTGCTGCGGGGGAGAGGGGATGGGAGACTGAGGAAAGGTGGCAGGGAAGATAGCTGGGGGCGGTAGAAGAAGGAGGCTGAGCGAGAAACAGGGGAGGCAAGGGGAAGGACGCGAGGGCATAAAGTAGGTGTTTTTGTACCTTACATGCTAGGGCGCTCTCCTAATTATAAACAGGTCTACTGATAAAAGTTTATTAGGGAAATTTATGCTGAGAGACCCCCTAACCATTTTAAATGCATATTCATCACAAAATATAACTCCTCTGGTGAGATATTGCGCATGCGCTAACACACTAACGTAGCCAGATTGTGTACTGGCTGGTATACGCAGCGGGTACCTTACATGCAAGGTCTTCCTCCTATTTAGTAAATGATGTCTACTGATGGAATGTTATTATATAAAGCTATGCTAGGATAACTCCTCTTTAATTTAAATGCATAATCTTTGAAAAATACGATTGCTCGGGAGATATTGCGCATGCGCGCGCACCGTGTTAGGCGTGCAGTGCCGTCTGAGGAAAACTTCATAAAATAGCTTGCTGAGGGGGAGAGGGGATGGGAGACTGAGGAAATGCGGCAGGGAATATAGCTGGGGGCGGTAGAAGAAGAAGGAGGCTGAGCGAGGGACAGGAGAGGCAAGGGGAAGGACGCGAGAGCATAAAGTAGGTGTTTTGTACCCTACATCCCAGGGCGCCCTCCTAATTATAAACATAGGTCTAATGATAAAAGTTATTAGAGAAATCTATGCGAAGATACCCCCTAACCATTTCAACTGCAAACGCATCAAGAAATATAACTCCTCTGGTGAGATATTGCGCATGCGCTATAACACACTAACGTAGCCAGATTGTGTACTGGCTGGTATACGCAGCGGGGACCTTACATGCAAGGTCTTCCTCCGATTTCTTAAATGATGTCTACTGATAAAATGTTATCATATAAATCTATGCTAGGATAACTCCTCTTCATTTTAAATGCATAATCTTTGCAAAATACGATTGCTCTCGGAAGATACTGCGCATGCACGCGCACCGTGTTAGGCGTGCAGTGCCGTCTGAGGGAAACTTCATAATATAGCTTGCTGCGGGGAAGAGGCGATGGGAGACTGAGGAAAGGCGGCAGGGAAGATAGCTGGGGCGGTAGAAAAAGAAGGAGGCTGAGCGAGGGACAGTGGAGGCAAGGGGAAGGACGCGACTCTCTCTCTCTCTCTCTCTCTCTAGACGGGTACCCATCCCTTCTCACAAGCTCGATATAGGGATCCCTATATCGAGCTTGTGAGAAGGGACAGGTACCAGTCTATATCTCTCTCTCACTCTCTCTCTCTCTCTCTCTCTCTCTCTCTCTCTCTCTCTCTCTCTCTCTCTCTCTC